TAGGGCTTGAGGACCTAAGGGTGCCCCTTAATAGAAGGGCTTGAGGACCCAAGGGTACCTGTATAGTATGGCCAAATCCAAATGGTTTGGGGCGTTGAGCCCTAATTCTAAAACAAATCCAAACCAAATCCAAACCTTGAGTATCAAATCCAAATCGAAAACCAAGCAGTGGATAACAAATCCAAACCAAATCCAAACACCACGTATCAAATCCAAATCCAAACCAAGACCAAATCCAAATCTTATTTCGAATCCAAATCCCTAATACCAAATCCCAAGTACTCGGGTTTGTTGCATCCCTAGAATTTCCTGAATTCCTTGAATTCGATGATATTTAGATGGGGTACGTGTTATAGTTGTGTGTCACTCTAAATTCCTTGATTTTCCATGAATTTCCTTGAATTGTCTAAATTGCTTGAATTTCTTGATTTCCTTGAATTCCATGATATTTAGAAGGGGTATGCCTTAAAGTAGTATGTGACTCTAAATTGCTTGAATTTCCTGAATTCCTTGAATTTCCATTTGGTGGATCCTAGGTAGTGCTGGTTTCGAAAGATGCTCAGAAGGAAGTTATGCGACCTAATTCGTCACTATTGACCCCAAATTTTGCGTATTAGTAGCAGACCTGCAAACTAGAAAAATTTTAAGATGATATAATTTTATGCTGTAATTTGGCTGCAATAGAGAAGTTTTGCTAAAACTGTTCTGTACGACCGTAGTTTTACAGCTAAATTCTATTTTCGAACATTGACATGAAACATTGCACATATAAAGACCACAAATAGGCTAATTGATAGAAAAAATTTCAAAATTCTTGAACGTGATATAATTAAAAGATGAATTTTTCAAAATATTAACGTTATATACAATATCTGTAAAACAAAGCACCTGTATTTTGAAAAATTCATATTTTGGTTAAGCCATATGGAAGAAGTTTGGAATTTTTTCTACAAGCTAGCCTATTTATGGTCTCCATATGTGCAAAGTTTCATGTCAAAGTTCAAAAATATAATTTAGCTGTAAAACTACGGTTCTTCAAAAAGATTTTAGTAAAACTTCTCTATTGCAGCCAAATTACAGCGTGAACTCATATCATTCTAAAATTTTCAAATCGTATTATTCATTGATTTCATAAGTTCTCCTATTTCAAACTTAAATCTTAAAAGACAAAAAAAAATATCAATTCAATTCTTAACCGAATTTGAATAATCATTTACCTATTCGTTATACGTCATCGTGACAGGTGGCACGTTGATTCGATCTTATTTCTAAAGCAAAATGGTTCAAGTCCGATGTATTACCAAGAAACCGTTTCTATATACACTTCTTTCTCGTTTCCTATGTTTCTCAATAATACTACGGTACATAATTTGTTGGTTTTAAAGAAGAAGTAACGCTCATCTACCGATTCGCTCACCCGTTTTTGAAAGAATAATAATGCGATCTTAGAAAATATTGATTTAAGTAGTCTTTATATTGCTTCTATAGAACATTATTGCCTACTGCATACTTCTGGACTAATTTCTTCACACTACGTTAGCTAATCAAATCTTATCATCAGCCACTGTAAATAAGTTGTCACTCAAGTGTCCGACTAATCTGCTTACGTTGAAACGACGATGCTAAATGATCGATGAAAATATATTTCGTGATATGAGATTTGGGTGTGGGTGTGGGTGGATGGAGATGTAGATGCGGGACGATAATATATTCGCATCCACACCTATACCCAGCACCGCTCACACCCATAACCCACACCCACACCCCACACACCCACCCCTTGATGTACGGCTCTCATTTTGTTTGTTATGCCTGATCTTTTAAGACAAAGACTAGGTGTGTTGTGCCGTCATGATGCCTGTCCAACAACGATTTTAAATACACAAAAACATTGCGTCCACGACACTGCATACCGCGAGTTCTAGCCATACGTTCTGGTGGGATTCGGACTAGTCTAAACAATATAATAAGCATGATGTAGAAGGTTGGATTCGAACATGCTAATCGCTTAGCTGATGTGCATTATGCGACCAAGTGATCAGCTTCTACATGACAACAAATATTTTCAGGTGCTATTCAATACAATTTTACACGAAATTTTTCAAATATCGTCATTAATAGAACCAATTTTTAAATTATTTTTATTTTTTCCAAAAAACTTTTTATTATCACTGACATTTAGAAAATTGTTTTACGTTGAAAAAGAAATAAATTAAAAATAATCTAGAATTTAAGAAATTCATTTTTTTCATATCCAGATTGAAGTTTACTTTAATTTAAAATTTTCGTAATGTAAACTTATAGATAACTTATAATGATGTCATTTATGTACATATTCTTAAATTTTGAGTTGCCAGAATTCATATTTAAACTAGAATGAAATGATGTCATAAAAATATTCGAGTTATTTTTAAATTAACTTATTTTCAATTCACGTTACAATCTAAGAAGCTTGAATGAATCTTAATACGCAGTTTTCGTTGAGAAGTAATCAAAATACTTTGTACTTTTACTACAAAAAAAAATGCAAATCTTTACTCTCCAGAGAGGTGTTTGATATATTCTTCGACACGAAGCAAACAAATTGATTAAGTTGTACATAAAATATGATGAAATATATAAAAACATAGACTTGTTTAACATGTTGTCAACCTTTGATATCATTCTCAATGTTGAAGAACACTTCTTATTGTTGTTTAAGTTAAAAAACAAAGTAATAACATCAATAGCAGTCTTGAAAACGAAAAAAAATCTGTTTTCGTACAATATTGTATGATTGAATTAGTTCATTCCTAATCAAAAAAAATAATAGCGAAATAATTATTATTCTACTACCTGATAGGCTACTCTAGACAGTACTTTCTCAAAAATGGAATTTTCATTACTAGTACCAATGAGACACATCAGACCAGTCAACTCACTTTTATCTATTAAGTTTTAAGTATGCTAACTTACGTGTTAGAATACATTTATGTTCGATTCTGTTTACATAATTGGGATTTGTTCAAATTGATGTTAATGATTATGCAGATTTTTAGCTATTGTTAGCTATACTATACGGTTATAATTTGTATATCATCGTTGCTGACACTCGTTGAATTTGTGAGTGGTGCATTTCAATGATGGTGTACAGAATGAAGTTGATCTTCAAGATTTATCAAAAGCGTAGATGAGATTTATTGAATCTGTTGAAGATTTTATGAAGAATAAATAGCGGATTTAGCTTATATAGTTCATTTTAGTGTTGGACTAAATGGCGATCATATTAATATACCAATAAAAATTCTCGTGTCACAATTAATATAGTATAGAAACATTATTTTGACATCACTATTTTCTGAACTTGCTCGTTTACTTTTATTCATTGATTAAAATTACTTAGAAATAGATGATGAATAGGATCGTGAATTTTCTAAAGAAATATTTCTAGTTTTGGCAAGTCATCGTGTTGTTTAAAATTGTAGTATTTTTATGAAAGTGCATTCAAAATCCAGAAAATCAGCACTACTCATCAAGCCTTGAACAAATCAGAATAATTTTTAAAAACTCAGGAAATCAGGACCTGATGCGACGCATGATTAAGCAGATTTCTGGAATACCATGAACCTTTACAAAGTTCAATTAGTCTTAAATTTTAATGATTGTTCTTTATGAATTATTTTTTTCATACTGAATAAATAAATATATAATCATAAAATCTATCGAATGATTCATAAACAAATACACTGTTCATAATTTTCAAACTCCTTTTCTATTATTCTCTTGATCAAAACACTTTTTTTTATCAAAACATAACACTTGAAATTCTCTGCAAAGATATATATATGATTGGATCTAAAAACTGTTTTATATGTGTTTGAAAACTCGAAATAAATATGAAAAATAGTCATGAATTAGCAAAATATGGTCCATGCACAGTTCGTACCAGGGCCATTATTTCGTAGATAAAAATGGTATCTAAGTAAAAAAAAAAAGTGCACAATGAATATCACATAAAGATCTCAGTTGTTTCTCGTACGAAGAAATTAAGAAACTAAAACTGACTGATCTTAAAAAACAAAGACGAATTAAATTTGTGATTTAGTGGTTATATCAATGTTCAGAATGATGGTTCATAGTATTTTATGAGTATATGAACACAAGAACTGACAGAGCCGGTAATGTTTGGAAAATGCCACAATGCATTTCGAAAGATATAATAGTAAAATTCTTCTGATAGCTCTAGGACGTAATGAGAAAATGTTAGAAAACAACGGGATGTATCAACCAGATGATGTAAGAGGAAAAAACTTAAACTTCTGAAGTTGATTTATGTCTATTAAAGAAAATGAACTAGACTATATTTAAAGAATTTCAAACATCATCTCTCGATAAAACAAAACGTGTTCTAATCAATGGGTATAATACAGAAGAACTTCCGACAATACGAACAACGCAAACTTCTTTATGCACTTCTTTTAAACACTTAATGTATACTTGCTTTTTCTTACACACTTATTTCGAAGAAAAATTATACATATTGTTAATTATTTATATTATTCAATTTTGGATTTTCTAAATAAATATTTTAAACGATGGACATTGATCAGACAAATATCGAAACAACAAGAGAAAAGTTATTGTAGTAAATTGTCAGACATAAATATTTGTTTAGTTGGTTTTTATGACGTATTTGAAAAATAATATTTATAATTTTTTTTTTTTTTTTTTATTATTATTAAGCTCAAAGTCTATAATGATGACGATTACTGTTCGTCATTGTCTATCATTAAATGTGGTATAACAAAGAAAAAAAACATCACGTTTGTCATGCACATAGTGTCTCTTAGTTGAAATATATAAATTTAAGTTTTGAACTCAATCTCTAATAAATCTTATTTTATTTCTAGTTACAACATTGATTGTTCTTCAATATTTTAAGTTGATCTGATCGAATAAAAGTTTTTTTTTTGTTAAATATGTTGACATTATCCAATTTTAATATTTTAACTTTTCTTATTATGTCAATATTATTTCTATCGGTATATAGTCAAATAAAAATAAAACAAGATGATGATTTATGTCCAAAAATTATCGGTATACTTTGTGTTAAAAATGTTCTTTTGGATATTGCACGAACAGCTGACGAAATCAATATAATAGCTCATAAAATGGAACAAGATATTGTAAGTATAGTTTTAGTTTTTTTGAAATTTATATTATGTTTGAATTTTTAGTCTGAATACGAACCAACGCCAATGACTCTCAATGATTATATTAATGATAAAATGAAACATATACAATCGAGTAAACCAAAATCATATTATCATGAACAATTTATGAATATTCAAAATAATATTAATAAAGTATGATAAATTAAATTGAATAGTTTAATTATTATTTTTTTTTTTTTCTAATGTTCTATAGACGGATTTTCTTCATTTATTGCAAGAAGAATATTATGCTTTTAGTTATTTGTATAATTCAATACAGCGTATTTTAAAAATAGGAAATTTGTTTAGTACTTCAATGGATGAATCATTTGAAGAAATTTTAAATAATTTACAAAAAAATATTTTATGTAAATATCGTAGTATTTTTAATGTTTATTCTGAATTATGGTTACCAATAGATAAAATTCATGGTATGGAAATATTAATAAGTCGAAAACGAAATGCACCATCATTTTTATATAATGCTTATTCAATGATAATTATTCGATTATTATATGAATGGATAGAAAATGTTAATAATATTGCTAGCAATATTGATAGCAAATATTTTCGTTAATATTGTTGAACAATGCTACTATTTTTCTTTGCTATAATTATATTCTTATTAAATTTTTTTGTTGTTAAGTGCTAATATTATTATTAATAAATGTGTATGTTGATGTGTGGTATATTTTATTTTTTTATTCACATGATTGCAGAAACTAGACTTTAAGTCTTGATGATGAAGGTTATAAATTTGATCATCGATAGGATAGAATAAATGTTTAGATAGAGTATTGAAACTCTAGAATCTAACTCAACAATCAAATGAGGATATCATTTTACCATTTTGAACAAATTAATATCAATAAATATCTGTTTTTTCAATATTTAATCACTGCCCCCGTTCTCAGGAAAAAAAACATCCTATACTAACTCGTTAACGGATGGTGTGACAAATATATTCCACTTTTTTTTCCTTTCAATTGCAGAACTGTAATAAACAAGGATAAATGACTCTTGTTGAACAAAGGATATTGTTGCATAGGTGGATTTAATTTCTATCTATCCAAGTTCAAATAATAGTATTTATCTGTTCTTTTCAACAGGAAATTGTGAAGAAGGCGAGCATTTATTCTCACTTCGGAAAAAACACTTGATAGACATGTAGCAAACAGAAAGTTTGAACATTGGATTTATGTTAAATTTGAGTTATACTTTCACTGTCCTTTATGAAACAGTAGTCTCGTGACTATGCTTTTGTAAAGCACGTGATGGTAGTGCCATTCGTTTGATAGAAAAAAAACGTATAATAGTACAATGTGTGTATTGAGCAAAGTAGGTGAACTGATCAATAATGCTGATATCACTCTGGCGTGCTTCAGAATTATTGATATGATTCTCGTGTATGATAATCTAAATTATGGTCTATCGGATTGCATCATCAGCATTGATAGAACTTAGCTATCCGAAATTCGTTTGTTAAAGGATTATTAAAACTTTATCCTCATTATAAAGTCCACCATAAGAAAAATTTTATGAAGCTTCATAGAAGATCATGAGTTTTCAAAAGCCTTTGATTTTCTAAGTAAATGCTAGCATATATCTAGTGTAATTAATAAAATTTTATTTTATCGAAAAATAATTTTCAATTCACACTTTTAAAAAAAACTACACTAAGGCACACTAAAGTTTACTAGAAGATACTATATTTTAAATTTAAAGATTGACGAATGTGAATGTTTTATCAGTTTTTTTCGAAATTCTTGAGTTCAATTTTTCTGGTCAATGATATTTTTAAAAAAATGCAAAACTAAATGCTATGAAACATGAGTAAACGGTAGGAAATAGATTTCCATTAATCAAAGAGATCGAACTCAAGAATTCTAAAAAACCGATAAGAGATTCTGATTTGACGATTTTTCATCAAGTTTTTATTTAACACAATAATCGTTATTTTCCGAACAGAATATGATAGCTATCATGTTAATTTTTAGTCTAATTCCAAAAAAAAACAATATCAGCATCTTCCATATCAAAAGATGTTGGAAATTCCAGATCTGCACTTTTCCTTTTAATAATGACGCAATAGAATGTTTCTCAGACTTGATAGTCAACATCACTAAAAGCATACGTTTATTTATGATATTTAACAATAATACGACTTTCAACATGCACATTTAATAACTAGTATTTGAAATTGCGATAAAATATGACAGCTCTATATGTTCTTATAATAATATTATTACTTTTCTTGAGCTATGATTGTTTTTATATAACAATCAACGTTAATTATTATAGAAAAAATATTCGATACTTCGATTATATATCACATTTTTAATAATTTCAAAAATTGAATTATTTATTAATGAATTTTGAATTCTACGAAATTTTTTTGTTCGTAGTCAAAATTCGATATTAATATCATTAAATATTTTTCTTCGAAAATCAATCAAAATGTCAAGAATATGATCAAATAAGTCACATTGAAATACATCTTCATAGATTATTTATCTATATATTCAGTGACCTTTTTTTTATCCGACTTTTTCATGTAATTTAAATGATGACAATAATAAATATTTAGTAGTAATTTTCTTACGAAGAATAGTTTCATTAACAAAAAAAAAAAAATCAGGTATTATTTTTTATGATCAGTGCATTTTGTTAATAGTAATATTAACTACTATAAATAGAAGGAAATAAAAATACTATATTTTCATATTAAAGAATAAGTTCATTATCTTTTAGCTAATATATTATTCAACAAAATAAAAATGTCTATGATATCGAACATGACTATATTATTAATTATTCTCATATTAATTTTATTTATATCTCAATCTAATGAACAACAATTAAAAAATGATGATATATGTAATCCAACACGAGAAGTTTTATGTATAAAAGATATTTTAAAGGATATATCAATAATAGCTGTTACTATTAATGAAACAATAAATAATATTCAAAAACATATTTCAAGCAAAACTATAAATATTGAAAAATTCGATCGTTATGTAGCACATCAAATGGATTCAATTAATTCATATTTACCAATACCAAAATATCATGTGCATTTTTTTCGAATGAATAATATTCATAAAGTATTATTATAAATTGTTTTTTGTATTTCAATAATATAATATTTTTTTTTTTGTTGTAGAAATATTTAGTTCATTTATGTTTAGAAGCGCATGATGCAATAAGTTTTTATTATAATTCAATTAATGATATATTAAATATGAATGATGCATCTTCATCGATAACAGATGCTTGGTTGAATCAAATTCAATCTAATATACGATATAAAATTATTTGTGAATATCGAAATATTTTATATGTTTATTCACATGAATGGAAATCAATTAATCAAACAAATCGAATAAAATATTCAACAATAAATCATCCAACTACTCCATCAATTGTTCATGATGTTTATACAATTATTAATGTTCGATTATTAGATGAATGGATGCTTAAAATTCATTCAGTTATTAATAATCTTGAAACAAAATTTGTTTGATTTATTAAAATATTTTAAATTATAAATAACAAATTCTCAAGAAAATGATCATGCTTTCAATATTTCATGTAAATGCTTTTGCTGATATGATTTTTTTCGCTAATAAAATGAATGCTAATTCTATGACATAAATAAACAATCATTTTCTTGCAATATAATTTAATATATCGAAATAAGGTATAAGATTAAACATAGAAAATTTCTTCTAGAAATTATATTTGTCGATGGTAATACTCATTGATACTAAATATAGCTTATGAGAGAACTAGTCGAACTATAACACACCATTTGAACTCATTTTGAGCTAACAAGGAAGGCTTAGTAAGATTAAAAAATGTTTAAACGGGCTCATGTCCATGAATAATCGCTTGAGACGTTCAACGTATTCTTCAGTTTGAGTTTCAGATCGAAATTTTGCTATTTCGTTTGTGAATAAATATTTAAAGCTAAGTTGATAATTCAGAAAACAGTCCTAACTCGATTCTAGAGACCCACGGTCAAGAACTCCTTAGGATTTTTCCTATCTATCTGAGACCTCCTTGCGAATCTAATATGAGTTCAAACGGCGAATTACAGTTGGATTAGTTTCCTCATTCGAAAATTGGTCATCAAGCAACTAATCAAAGTTATTTCTTAGTTTAGGTACGAATTAACTTTAATCAAAATATGACAGTAATCGAAATTTATGCGTTCGCTTTCCATAAAAGTCATAGTTGTGTGAACATATTCTGTTATAAGAGAAGAAATGATCATGATGTCGATTTTAAATTAAATACATCTTTTCTGCATGTATCCGTATATACACCATAGAATAAAAATCACGCCCTAGTTTTAAAAATAGATGATCATTCATATAATAAAACAACAATAATCAAATCTCTTAGAATTATTGCTCCTAATTGTGATATATATAATATCAACGAATACAGTATCAAAAGCAACACAAGACACCATTTAATGAATAACATGAATATTATCAATGATTATATATCGAAAAGAAAACAAGATCAGAAGTGCATAGTTTAAATCCAAACGTAAATTTTAAAATGTGTTTGTCTCATTCATTCTAGAATACTAATTCATTATACTAGATTACATGATGTTTTTCACCGTCGCATAAACGACATTAACTAGAGCTGTCTCCGTCAAATAACCATCACTCATATTAAGGCCATATGCTTACACATATTGCTCTGTTTTCACTATCTTTTGTTCTGTATTTATTAAGCTGTCATACTGATTAGATTCTATGTAATATCCTACGTATGTTTTCTATTATTATGGAATGTTTTATTTCATAAATAGGATTCATATATATGTCCTTTCTTTTACCTTTGGTGCAGAACTATGAAGAAAAGTGATGAGGAGAGATTATGCTAGAATGCGCAGTATTTCTCAATTATTCCCTCGACTGTAGGGAGGGTCATATGAAATAAAATGCGTTTGTATGTGTCAGGGTCAAAAAAACATCAGTGGTGAAGTTTATTTAGGCGTAACTTCTAAAGTTTCACCGAAGGTAATTGAGGTCGGTAAATCCGAATCTGAGGGCGGATTTTACATCCGGTCTTCCCATTGGCTAGGAAGCCGACCAATCCGAAATGAACTTTTTTATTTTAAGCTTTTTGGGCATTTTGATGAAACTTTACTATAGGTTATCGCGGACTAGGATTCCGAATCTGAGGTCGGATTTCACATGTGAGCTTATGATTGGTTAGAGAGCTGAGCAATCAGATAGGAGTTTTTTTATTGCGTTTGGGTCTTTATATGAGGTGGTTTCCTTGATTGAAGGGACGATGATATACATTAAAACGAGTTTTATGCTTATGGTAAAGTCAAAGGTCCTGAATAAAAGATTGAAATGAAAAGTGAAGTTGATGACTACTTTGTGCTATATGTTCAGCCAACCGGAGGCTCTCAGTACAATCGTCTGGACTAATCAGATGTTTTCGAGCTGGAACTTCGGTCAATCAGGTGTTTTGGCTATGTGGCTATTGTCGAAACAGGTTTTTATAACAAAGGACAGGGCCAATGAAATTCGTTTGGTACTGGTTTAGAAACTGTATTTTCTAAACTATATTGTCAGCTAATACAGTATATGTTGGCTGTAGATTGTATCTAAACGTATGAGAAAGAAGAAAGTGATAGTGACTAGTGCGACTTTTTTCAATTTTATGAAAATAGTTAGGAATGAAGTGACCTTTTTTGTCGTTACCACGGAGCGTTTTTGGCTATTCATTTCCTCGACTGAAGGGATGGTCATATGAAATAAAATGAGCATGTGTGTGTGGCAGGTCAAAGGTCGTAGGATTAAAGATTGTAGGTTATTATAAATATTAACGAAAGTAAAGCGGGGTCGGGGAATCCCAATCTGAAACCGGTTTTGCGAAATTTTCACTCTGAGGGTTTTTTGTAAGAGAAATTTTTTTTATAAAGTCTGACCGAGCGGAATCGAGGTCTAGGATTGCAATATGAGATCGTTTATTGGAAATTTTTAGTTTGAGTTTTTTTTGGTCAGGCAGTAGATTTTGTATGTAAATGGTTGTTTTGCCCTCAACTGAAGGGGTTGATAAAAGATAAAATAAGTTTTTATGGTTGCTTCCTCGACTGAAGGGAGGATGATAGGAAGTGAAGAAGTTTGCTTGCTTGTGTGTTTGCATTCACTTGTGAAGTCACCTAAGCACATACAATGGGCAACATTCAGAGTAGCTATTTTCAACTAGGCCTGTGAAGTTACTATTACTAGAGAGTCACATCACTGGAACACTGGTAAGGGAAAATGCGGTACTCGTTTTTTTAGTATTGAAAGAGTTTTTTGAGAAAATTATCATATTTTATAAAGGTTGACGAATGAAAATCGAGCTACAGGCATCTAAATCTATATTTGGTCTCTTGAAATCTTCATTTTGAATTTTGTCATCGGAGCAAGATTTTTAGGGAAAACAGTGATCTTTCACTGTGCTGAAAAGGGTCATATGAAATAATATGAGTTTGTGCTTTGATAGTCATTGGGAGAGTAACGTATTCAGATGTGTTAGCGTGATAACAGTTTTCATGATATTAGTAACATCAAATATATGTAAGACTTTTATCAGGCCGCCAATTCAGCTAATTAAATGTTTTCGGTGTTTGACTAGCAATCTGCCAAGCTTTATTCTGCTAGCAATATATTTAATGTGTTCTCGTTTCTCTTCTTACCAGCTAGTCAGCTTAGGATGGGTTTATGCATAAGTGGCACATTCTCTGTGATATAAATGCGCATTTAGGGATGGTTTTAGATGGTGTGCGCTTGACCTTAGCTGATGCATTGCGTCTGATCAGCTTTATTTGTAATTCGCCCTATCTAAATGTGGTTCTCGAAGTAGATATGTGTCAGACAAAAATCTGACGCATTAAATCGCATTCATGCAAAACCGTACTTAGGATCCCACTCACGTTCGCATCCAACCCAACAGGCACTTCTGACACTCAAAGTCTAGTTTTAGTCAATCCAACATTGTCGGTATCTAAGTCTACTCGCGTTATCTTTGCTTTCTGGCGGAGTATTCTATTATTCATATATTTTTCAGCAGTTGCGACTCGTGAAATTTCTAACCGCTATAACTTGAGGAAAGTAATATAAAAACATATATGTAAATGAGGTCATATCTTTTATGTTAAATGTACAATAAACAACCATTGCTTAAGTGCACAGAAGTAAATGGAGCGACTAGCCGTGAGTGGCACCACGGAGGGGCGCGGACGAACGACTTGTCGCTGATATTGCAAGTACACTATAGATTCACCTAACAAAATATCTGTCTAAAAGCTAGACTTTTTTAAGAAGACTGCACTAAGGTTTCCTTGATGAGGAATTCCAATAAAACTCTGATTTTCCAGCTAGACAATGAAATTGAAGAAATAAGGAATAGTTCACAACAAAGCTTCGCTTTAGAAATTCCCGTCAAGAATTCTCGTGCTACAAATCTAACGATTTTTCGAAGTAAGCGCAGTCTGGGATCAGGTGGAGTGTAAATAAAAAAGGATGGTCTTATAGAGGAATAGAATTAAACATGGCAGCGAGTAGCCGCGAGTGGCTCTCCGAAAGGGGCACCGACGAGCGGCTAGCCGCTGCGTTAGAAAATTCCCTGAAGAAGCGCTTCAGGTTGTTGGAATCCATTTAATAAATGTCAATGATCTAGATCTACTGGGCTTCAATAGGAACTACAAGTGGCAAAGAATTCAGAAATATTTTTAAATAAAGTGTGAGAACAGCTTTTGTGCACGTGCACAATATTTGAATAGTACATTTGACGAAAAACATCACTCAAAGAATTTATACCCGCTCTATCGGAAGTCAATATGAATGAAATAAAACAAAGTTTTCCTGTTGGTATGTGTTCATTCACGTGTCGGAATGTATTCGGGTATGTTCAAATTACCTGTCTAATCTGACGGCTACTTGAAGTAGGAGCCTCATTCAAGTGTGGTATTCCGATTACAGGTCATATCTAATATGATTTATTTTAATGTAGAAGTTCAGCTAAACTCGCATTTTTCTAGCGGACGCTCTAGCAAACAACATTGTCGACTGATGTGCTAGTTAGCATACGGATTTTTACTAGAGTTTTCAAGGAGTATGGCACGTTTTCACAGTAGTGTCGCGAGTGCGATTTGCTTCGTGACCCACTCAGAAAATTGAATATAATCTCTTTTTCGGATGCGTGCGGATACTGTTGCCGTAATGTAGTTCAGTTAGATTTCTGTTGAGCATCAATGTATAGGGATCAGTTTCATTAGATGAATTTATGACAAAAATCATCACATGGACTCGTATACCATTGTGTACAACGAGATTGATGCTAATATCAACGTCCACACACACCTACCTTTTTGCAAACGTTTGATATCAACTTTGTTCAAGACTGTAAAGCAGTATATAGCATCGACAGAGTCGAATATTCAGTTGAGGGTCAAGCGAGTCACACGGACGAGCGTTACTTGTTTTATAAAGGAAATCATGTTGATCAACATGTAGTATAACATTAAGTTTTTTTTTCTAAAGAGTCTACATCATATCATTAATAAAATAATGAAACAAAAATAAAAAGAATGAGTAGTATTTCGATTGCCACAAAGTGCTGCGACAAAATATTTGATTGTAGTAAAAATAATTATGATATTGTGTAAATAAAATCCTGATCGTAATAGACACCTTTTTGTCACTGTATATCGCCATAATGTTTCGTTTTTTTGTATTCTCTTTTATTTATAGTTTATAATTTTGACGAATTTCATTATAAATCACGAATATTTTATTCAAATTAATACGCCTTTAAATGAATCATTTGTGCCGTTACTAAACATGAAGTTTTATTCAATAAAACAAAATATTTGTTGCCTAAAACGCACAGTATGTCTCTGACCAAATTATCACGTGGACAAACAAGACACTAGCGACATCTTTTCATTTAATACATGGACCAAAAACATCTGCTTAATATATTCTAAATAACCTTTTTTTCTAAATAAAATCAAATTCTAATTAATCTAGTAAGATTATGATTAATTCTAAGACGATTTTCACTTGTCTAAAGGTTTTTCCATGACAAAATATTTCTCGATGTCTGACATGGAATGATATCCAATTCACTTAATTTTTCCTAATTCTCTATATCGTTAAAAGCAATTGTTCATATAAATGAAGTCCGTTGCTTTATGGGGTGATAAACCTTCTGACGAAGATGTAGAAGAACAATCGTAAAATAATTCTTTATGACTTTTTTTTTTTTTTTCATTTACAATCAATATTAATTTAGGGTCAATGCACTCTGTTTTAATCCTGATGGATCTCAATTATTAGCAGCTGTTGGAGCAAAAATACTTGTTTATGATACTAATGATGGAGCATTAAGAAGTGCACTTAGTGGTATGAGATTTTTCATTCGATTCAAATTTAATATGTAAATTGATTATAGGACATGGTGATGTCGTAAATACAATATCTTATGCAACGGATGGAAGTCGTTTTGCATCAGGTGGTGCTGATAAATTAGTTGTTATATGGACAAATGAATTACAAGGAATGTTAAAATATGCGTATGTGTCTTTTGTTTTTTTTATGATTAAATTTATTTGTTTAAGACGCAGAAAAAAAAAGCAAAAACAAATTATTTTAGACATGATTCTTCTGTTCAATGTGTTACTTATCATCCAACTTCACATTTACTTGCAAGTTGTTCAAATGCTGATTTTGGTCTATGGTCACCTGAACAAAAAAATGTAACAAAAACAAAATTAACTGGTCGAATAACTTGTTGTGCATGGAGTGCAGATGGACAATTACTTGCATTTGGATTATATAATGGACAAGTACATATTCGAGATAAGGTAAATTAATAGTTTTTGTTTAATTATTTGTATATGATTATTGAATTTGTCTATTTATATACAATTACATGAGCTTAAGCTATTTATCGAAAATCTTTTTAATAGCCATCTTTATTGAGAGAGTTTAAAATCTTGGTTATGACACGATATAAGGATTGTCAGTTCTTAGATTCTATTTGATACCGTTCAATTCGAGATATTTCAAGATGTGGTATTTGTATGAGATACTGATAGGAGTTCTGAGCAATCTTTAATTTAATAGTAGTGGTCGATCGGAATTGATTAATACCTTCGTATAAGTTTTCCTGACGCGTGATTCAAACAAGGCATCAAAAAATACAACAAATGATGATTTACTTTTGACGCTATTGCTTTTAAGCGAGTATATCTCAATTCTGTCATCTGCGACTAAAATGATACAAATCGCAGAAAAAGACTTATTTTGAAGAATGTGAAATTTTGTATCTTCTAATATAAAAACAATTATTTTTCAATATAAGGTATCATCTCATCAGTTATGAATGCATTTTTACTTTGTTTCCTATCGTAAAGCAATAAGAAGTGAAGATAAAACACATTAACATGCAAATAGATAGTTCGAAAATTTCTGCATCTTTTACACCATGAATTCAGTTCGAGTTTTTCTAATTTTTCCCCTTTGAGCACTCAAAATTTTGTAGCATTTAAGGTTTTTTTCTTACTATAAAACAACATTCTTGATTATGTCGTAACAAAAAAAACAATCCGCATATGACCAATATCCCTAACTCGTTATAGGTCTATCTAATCGTAGTTGATTTTCATGAAACAATTTTGACCATCTGAAATCTGTATTATAGTAAGGTAGAGTCTAATTGTAGAAAACAGAATGTAATTCACGAAGAATCTTCTATATTTTGATATGATGTCAATTTCATTACTTTTAATCTATGCTCAAATAAATATTTTATTTTCAATGATTTAGGATGGAAATGAAAAATATAAATTTGATCGATCTGATGCAGCTAATTCACCTGTATGGAATGTAGCATGGTGTCCAACAAGGTAAAAATTCTCATAGTTTAATGTTTTAATTAACAAAAAAAAAACGATTTATTGATTTTGATTTTAGAGATGACGAACTTCTTCTAGCAGCTGTTGATTGGGGTCAAAAATTAACATTATATCAAGCAACAGGTGCTAAACAGGTAAAATTTTTATATTAAATTAATTTTACATCTTTTCATTTGACAATAAGACTGGAAAAGAACGTAAACTTGGTTTTGATCCATGTGCATTAAGTTGGCTTGTTAAAGATGCATATAAACAAGAATCTCGTGCTGAATATATACTTATTGGTGGTGCTAATAAAGAATGTACAATATATAGTCGTGAAGGTTTTAAATTAGGTACTGTTTGTACACAAGATGCATGGGTTTGGTGTTGTTGTGCAAAACCAGATGGATCAGCTGTGGTAAAAATATGAATAAAAAACAAAAAATTTTTTAATTTCATATATATTTATTTTCTTATTAATTAGGCAGTTGGTACTACAAATGGATTTATTGGAATGTATGATATTAAATTTGGTGTTGTACATGGTATACATAAAGATCGTTATGCATATCGAGATAATATGACAGATGTAATAGTTCATCATTTAACAACTGATCAAAAAGGTATATTGAATAATTTATTTTGTATATTATTATTATTTGTTTGTATTTATTTTAGTTAAAGTTAAATGTCGAGAATTAGTTCGTAAAATTGCAACATATAAAACAACACTCGCTGTAAGTTTACATAATATTTTATTCTTAACGAAAAGAAAAAAACAAAGAATTAATTAGTTTTTATCAATCATCTCAATTGGTTATAATTGACAAACAATTTATCACAATTAAACTAACGAGGGAACATTCCCAAGTGATACCGCCGTTTCAGCTCATATTGTACCCAAAAGTAGATCTCTGTAAGACTAAAGAAAGTCTAAAATGGTTCGTGCCATTGCGCCCTTGGAGCCGAGTTATGCCTAATTTACTG